TCCTTGTCTGTATAATCCAGATAATCATAATCCACATCCATAAATGACTTGACATTCTCAAATACAAGGTGTTGTAGAAAGGCAAAAATTGTATTATGTGTTTATTTTTAGAAAGATTACATAAAAAGAAGTCTATATTGGGCTTTGCTATAACTTGAGGGCATACTAGAAGAAAATTACCATCTGTTTATTTAAAAATACAACCTAAAAAGGAAAATGTTTCTAAAGTAACATTTTTTTTCTGCAGAAATTCTTTTTAACACAGAATAGTTACTGTCCTTCTTTAAACTAAATGAAAATACTTAATTTTCTCCACTTCTTAAAAATAGGTGAATATTGAGCTCATGTGTTAAAAAGCAAGGTCCTGTTTTATTCTGAAAAATAGTTACTACTGGAGCCAGTTCTGTTTAATATCTTTATCAATGATCTGGACAAGGGGATCAAGTGTACCCTCAGTAACTTTGCAGAAGACACCAAGTTGGGCAGGAGTGTTCGTTTGCCTGAGGGTAGACAGGCTATACAGAGGGACCTGGGTCAAGGCCAAGGGTATGAGGTTCAACAAGGCCAAGTGCCGGGTCCTGCACTTGGGTCACAACCCCATGCAGTGCTACAGGCTTGGGGATAAGTGGCTGGAAAGCTGCCAGGCAGAAAAGGACCTGGGGGTGCTGGTCGACAGCTGACTCAACATGAGCCTGTGTTCAGTTTTGGGCTCCTCATTACAAGAAGGAGATTGAAGTTCTGGAGCATGTCCAGCGAAGGGCAACGAAGCTGGTGATGGGTCTAGAGCACAAGTCTTATGAGGAGCGGCTGAGGGAACTGGGGCTGTTTAGCCTGGAGAAGAGGAGGCTGAGGGGAGACCTTATTGCACTCTACAACTACCTGAAGGGAGGTTGTAGTGAGGTTGATGTTGGTCTCTTCTCCCAAGTAACTAGTGATAGGATGAGAGGAAATGGCCTCAAGTTGCGCCAGGGGAGGGTTAGATTAGAGATTAGGAAAAATTTCTTCACTGAAAGGGTTATCAGTCACTGGAACTCAAGGAGGTGGTTGAGTCACCTTCCCTGGAAATATTTAAAAGACAGGTTCCCAGGTGCTTTGGGACATGGTTTAGTGGTGGACTTGGCAGTGCTAGGTTAACAGTTGGACTCGATGATCTTAAAGGTCTTTTCTAATCTAAGCGACTCCATGATTCTATGATTTTAACTGGTAGGAGATTTTAAATGAGGGACATCATCCTTATGGGTCCCTTTCCAACTTGAGATATTCTGTGATTCTATGATCAGAGCTAAGTCTAGGACAGTGAAACCCCACATGGGTTTTTTTACTTGTTCTAGAGAGTGTGGAAGAATGGTCAAATAAGCCGTTGCCTAGACCAGCAAGCAAGAAATTAAGTTGGCCGGACAACTGAGCTGATTCTGTGGCAGAATATCACATACAGTAATACCACGTGACATATCCTTTGACATCTATTGATCGTAGCATGGTCCCTCTAGTGCACTATCTGGCCTACCTGCCTCTGCTTAAACTAAGCTGTAAAATAATGAGTGTAACTGCCATTCCTCTCTTTGTGCGTAGGGTGAACGCTGCCTATGAAGCACCTACCTATGAGGAGGTGATGACCATGTCAGCTCCAGCAATATGGACGATTACATCCAACCCAGGCTTAGTGCCCTCACCACTGAATGAGCCTCCTCCTTACAACGTAGTTATTGAATCATCTGCCCAAGAAGAGATTATGGTGGAGGCTCTCAGGGCATCAGTGGCATCAGAGACAAGGCACACCCGTGAGACAGGCACAGGCTGCAGGGTGCAGTTGCAGCTGGTGTTGCCTCCAAGACTGCAGCGGTTTGTTTCGGACATCCATGAAGTGAAAGGTGTTGAAGACAGGTTTGAGCCACTGGAGCCACTCACTCCACCACCTGCTTATGAGAGTGCCATCAACGATGAGGTCTTTGAAGATGCTTTCCAGCCTTCGGTGTTACATTCAATTTCACCTTCTATGAATGCAGAACCAAACCCTCATGCCAATACAGAGTGCTCCTGGAGGGAAGGTGAAAGACCTGAGACTTTTAACACCCAAAACTGTAAAAGTTTGTCTCACCATTCTTTGAACCAGAGCTGAGCTACAGATACAGCTTCTGATCTCACTAGAATTTTTTGCACAAAATATAAATCAATGCAATACCACAGTGCTTTGTCTTGGCATATACATAAAACCACTGTGAGGAAAGTCATGTTATATACAGCAACAATGCTCAAACAAACTGGAGATGCACCTTTACAGAGGAGAAGAGTAAGGTTAGTAGGTGGAGAGAGGTTCTCCTTCCCCTCTACTCTGCCCTGGTGAAACTGCATTTGGAATATTGTGTTCAGTTCTGGGCGCCTCGGTTCAAGAAGGACAAGGAATTGCTTGAAAGAGTCCAGCACAGAGCCACAAAGATGATGGAGGGAGTGGAGCATCTCCCTTATGAGAAGCGGCTGAGGGAGCTGGGTCTCTTCAGCTTGGAGAAGAGGAGACTGAGGGGTGACCTCCTTAATGTTTATAAATATGTGAAGGGTGAGTGTCAGGAGGAAGGAGCCAGGCTGTTCTCAGTGACAGCCAATGACAGGACAAGGGGCAGTGGGTGCAAGCTGGAGCATAGGAGGTTCAATATGAACATGAGGAAAAACTTTTTTACCATAAGGGTTACAGAGCACTGGACCAGGCTGCCCAGAGAGGTTGTGGAGTCTCCTTCTCTGGAGACATTCAAAACCCACCTGGACATGTTCCTGTGTGACCTGGTCTAGGTGATCCTGCTCTGACAGGGGGGTTGGACTGGATGATCTTTCGAGGTCCCTTCCAATTCCTAATATTCTGTGATTCTGTGATTCTGTTATCAAAGGACCTCCGTAAAAGGACTGTAGGATGCAGCCAGGTGAAGCTGCCTCAGAAAGGGGAGTGATAGAAGCAGCACTTGGCAGGTTCTGCCTGTGCATTACAAACAGCAGTACTGCTGAGAGCTCTGTGACCTCCAGCAACCCCAAAATCCCTACTGAGAGACTGAGGCTGCAGTTCCCCGAGTTGATGTTGTGCAGCAACACAAATTTACAGTCTGCACTGTTTCTACACCTCTGCTGCACTCACTCCATGTCCTGTTCTGTGCTGCAGCGTGACTGAGGGGAGGGTGGATGTCTTCATCCTGAAGCTGGCACCACCTGATACCTCTTATTGGCAGTCGAAAAGCTGGTGGCAAGCACAGCTCCTTGAAATCACTTCCACTGTTCACAAGGTTCTCATCCCACACAGCCTGCAGTGGCGGACAAGAGGGAGATAATAGCAATTTTTCTCCTGTAAGAGAGGCTGGCAGTGGCATACACACACATATAAGTATCCTCCAACTGGACCACCAGTCTTCGCAGCTCTGCAGGAGGGTGTGCTCTGCTGTACTAGAGCTCCAAACGGATTGCTTGAGAAACTTTACTGACATTGTGGCAAACATTTGCACGGAAAGGTCAACAGCCCCCCAGTTCCCCATAACAATGCTGTGCATGGAGGCTTCTCTTTGGACTCTGGAAAGGGCCAGTCTGTCCCCTGAGGCCATGGCTGCAGTGGAGAGCACCAGAGAATAGCAGTCCCCAGGCACTGGCAGTCTCCATCACAATGGCTCTAGGATGGAACCAGGTTTTAGATCTCACTGATCAGTGATGCTGTCCCATCTTATAAAATGAGTGAGGTAAACTGACGGGCTCTGCAGCATTAAAGTGGTCTGCAGTATGCAAAGAAGTATTCATATCTGGTGAATGTCCAAATAATTCAAAAAAAAGGATATAGTGGTCCGAATCTCCTATGGAGGACAGCAGCAATCATCACAGCCTTGTCTAGTAGAACTGCATCATTTTTAATTCATATGAGGAAACATCAAACCATAAGCCAGAAGGAAATAAATTATTTGTTATTGTTTGATTCTTTACAGTTTAAAAAAAACACTTTTTATGTTGTTTATAAATAAATGAGACTGTACTAAAAATACCTGGTGGCATTATTCACTTTTCCTCCCAAAAGAAACACACCACAAAGCAACCTTTTGCTTGTATTCTGCTTATTTGTTGATCTTGGCTTAGAAAGAGGAGTTCCATTTCTAAATCTATAGCTGAATCACTTCAATATCATTAACTATGAAACAACTATGATGTCTCTATCATAAAAGTATTGTGAGAGACAAAACTGCTGATAGAGGCAATGAGGTTGTTTTTTTTAAAGCAAATCACTTTTTGCATCTTGCTCCTGTAGCTGCAAACACAGAACAAACCAGAGTAAAAAGCAGCACAGATGCAGGAGCAGAACTTAGGGCCTAAGCTGGGCAACTTTCTGAGCGCATCAAATTGCTGGGAGTCAGGAAGAAATCCAGGTGGCCAAAGCAAACGATTTTGTCTTCAGTACCTATAAGGGTTATTCAAGCCTCCGGAGAAGCTCCCCCCACCCCCCCGCCGCCAACGCAGCCGAGCCTGGGCAGAAAGAGGCACGACGCCGTGAGGGCAGGCGAAGCCGCGCATGCGCGCAGTCGGTTTGACGCTCATTCAGCTCGGCCTTTGCCAAGGGAGGGGCGGGGCTCTCCCCTTTGGCCACGTGACTTGGAGGCAAAGCAGGGTGCTCGAATGGCTTGAATGGCTGGGGCCGCCCCCGGAAAGGAGGAACGTGCCCCTGTGCGTGCGTGGGGCGGAGCGAGGGGAGGGTTGGGT